TTAATCGTATTCGACGCGAACAAAATAAATTCCTGTAGATGGTTGTTTACCTAATTCTTTCATTCGAATGTATATTATTTTGAAAAATATATATAACATTTCGACCCGTTTAATTATAATTAAAAATGTTTACTTTGAGGATTTTTTAGGGGTTTTCAATTACATTTTTTGGATTAAATTTTCGTGGAAAATAAAATTTACAGTTTACGTTTACAACGATTCCAATAGCTCTGTAGCTACTTACTGTAATAATATTCTCTGTAACAATTTACAAAAAAAAAATATTTTCACTTTGGAACAATGGACTCCGACAATAAAATCGCTACATTGTAAATAAGCGAACCGCATAAAATCCGAAACCGACAATTTTATTCCGAATCGCATCGAACTTTTACGGCGAATAAAATAAAACTCGTCTATAATTTCATATTTTATACATTCATCGTCCGTATTCGTTTATTTCTTATTTGGGAAATTTGCATTCGCGCAAAAGTTAAAACGCATGCATAGATCGCGAGCCACGAGTTTGACATCTAATCGGTAAACTGGGTCGTATCTGCATAATTTATTTTAAAGGAAAATGAGGTAACGCCGGCTGAAAAATGGAAGTCAACACTGATAGTGTTCTCATCAATAACTAAGGACATTAGTGATGTGAACGGAAGGAATATTCGGAAAACGTTCCCGACCGGGTAATCTGGTTTTGTACAGTGAATTCTAAATTACATTTTGCAATAATGCATGTGTTGTAAAATTGGTTATACCGGATTTTCCGTACGTACTTTTTATATAAAAAGTTACATTGGGCCAATTAATTTTGTTTGGCTTTGTTATTTAGTTTTGTAACATCAATTTTATTTTTATATTAATATCAAGCACATCACAAACAAGTTTGTAGGTAATTAAATACTACATAAAATTCAACAAAGCAAACTCAAAAATTGTTAGTTGCTCTAATGAACTAAATTTTATATAAAAGTAATTACGAAGCTTTTGAACTCCAACGTTTTTGTCATAGCTATTAATAAAACCAATTTAGCATAATTGATCTAATTGAACGCAGTAAATACAAACTAATAGGAAATTCAATCTAAGTACGAAGCAGGAATGAAATTCGAATACCCATTTCGAAAATTCTAATTCAACACGTCCTCACATCAATGGCTTCATTTAGAAAACTTCTTTTCGACTTCGCTGTACTTTCCACGGCGCGCGTCAATTGTCACTCGGAATTCGATTCCACGAAAAAGATTTTCAATAAGACATTTAGTCCAGTCATTCTATTTATTTTATGCAAAACCAACTATACACTAATAGGCTACACCTTGATGATATTTATGATAATTAATCGGCAAGATGTCATCGATAGATTAGAGTTATATGTGGGGATGACGTGGAAGGTAAAATTTATTGGTGATTTAAATCGAAATTTGACTGTACTAACAGGCTAATTTCGAGCTCGAAGTTAAAGTCGGGCGCGTTAAGATTTCGTCGAATTCAACGATGCTAATATGTAGGAAGAAAAATGGTAATTTCAACTCTTTTCGCTCTTCGAAATGATTCCTTATAAATCACGGGAACATGCCGTGAAGAGCGTGCAGGTGACGACTTGTCAGAAAGAAAAACCGATTTGTACTAATGACGAGCGATGCTCTTTCCGGGAGATGAAATCTCTCGAGAAAAAGTTTTTACTCCAAGAATGAAACGGGCGCATTATTCAGAGCACAAAGGAAATATGGTATCTACTTATTTTTAGTTTTGGACCCGCTTTTATTAACGAAACGATAGTTAGTTAGACGAATATACAAAAAAGTTTTAACGAGATGTACAAAATTGTTTATTTGTATACCATTTACCATTTTTTCCGCTCGCTAATTAATACACTATTAGTGTTTTCATTTCGCAACATAGGTATGTAGGGTAATTGTAGCTGTAGAATGAAATTTAATTGGCTTAATTAAATTTTACTCGCTTTGTAACAGTCTCAGGTGGCCTCGTGGAAACTAACTGAATTTAAAATCCAGCACTTCTACGGCTGAATATTCAAATACTTCGAAATATGAAGTTGTTTGTTTTGCATATTCTAATTCAATTTTAGCCATTTACTACACGATTTCCATCTCAAAATTTTTTCCTCGCCTCTTCGCTTAATTTTACAGCAACAAATGTAGAACGGGAATTAATCTATTCTCTCCCAAATTCGCACAATATAAAGACCTCGCATTGTCCCCGAGAAGAATCCAACCCTTTTTCGAACGCCCTCGAATCCTTTAAAATCGAAAAACGCCCCGATCCCGGAGCCTTTAATTCGCCCGAATTCGAGCTGAATGTCGAAATAAAACTTCCTCCTAAGGTAGTCATTAATTAACGTCGCCTTTTCGAACAATCCTCTCGGAACTTTCGGCGACGATTTCGCGGGGAATTTCCGCTCCGATCCGAATCGCGAGCTTTTTGATGTGGAGCCGGAAAACCGCCGGAAAATTCGAGAGAACGAGCCTGAGCGGAATGTACTCGGTCTGTTAATTCTACTTCTAATAGTTTCGGTATTTAGAATTTAGAACATACTGTGTATGTATGCTGGTAGTCGACTTAAATTTCCCTCAAAGTTTCCGCTTTGTGATTTCTCCCATTAAATGATACACACACAAGATGTATGTAAGGGTTGCTCTTTAATGGATGTTCGCTAATTTTTAGTGTTCTCCTCCAATTTGTAAGATATATCCTGCATTATTCATCAGTACATTAATAACGCAAACAGCAAGGTCGAAGTTCGGAATAGAATTATAACGTAAAATGGGTTTATCGTCGGAGAGTGCATTCAGCCGACCGTGATTATCTAAATGCACCCAATTGCCTTTACTTGTCTGTTGAAATCATTAACGAGCGCCGGGCCATCGGAGAGGACTCGGATAAATCTCCGAACAGTCTAACTCGGATTTGCAAACTTTTAACTCCTCTTCAAATCGAGCTAAATTCACACACGTATTCGCGTTAGAAACGCTCCATAAAACACGGAAAATGTATACCTATGGAGGACAATATGGCGTTTCAGCACGATTGAATATTTCGGCTTTTGTTCGGTTACAATTAATAATTATTAAGCAGTAATGTGGAATTAACAGGAATTGGTATTTAACCAATAATTTTTGCAGCAGTATCGTTGATAATTGAAACGTAACTAAAGCATTATTTAAACAACAATACGTCTCCATTAACAGGATAATTAAAAAGTAATTATATAGAAGCTATTAAATAGAGTCGGCGTTAATTTAATAGCTTATAATGCAAAGAAAGTAATTTATGGGTAATTATGAATAAGCACCGGGAAGCTTTTAAGTGCAACATAAACAACAACAAAAGTCACATGCAGGAGAAAAGCTGCGTTTAAATTCGCTTTGACTAATACTCTTCTATCAGTTAAACAATTCCTGCAGTCTTAATAAATCCGCCAGCCAGTCCAATCTGCGAATCTGTCACGTCACTTTTAGCTCGCTGTTAGTTACAAGAATAAAATATCAAAGTCGTCTCGACGGGCTTCGCTGAAGTTTCCCACCCTTCGCTCTATATAAGGTAATAGTTTTTTTATCAGTAACAACTGGAGCGAGGTAATTCCTTTGAGAACGAAGTTCGCACCTACTTGCGACACTTGCTTTTTGAATTAAAAATAAAATTGAAGATGAATTCACTGCGAAACGAGCGCTTTATGAAGCTGCGAAGTTACATCTTTTGTTAATTGTACGGTTAATTTTTGGCGTCTGTTCGAACGTTACAAGATAGCTTAATAATTTAGTTTAAAAAGATAAATATGATGTAGGTAGAATAAATAAGAGCAAACAAGAGGTTCGCGAATTGGGCGGTAATTTAGCCAACTTTCGGTTGAAATACAGTCGAGATCGAAATTAAAAGTTGACTGGGGAGAGCGTTTATTATCCTTTTGACTTGCCTAAGACAGGCTTAGAATATAAGTTAAATTAGAGATTATCTGCCGGCGTCGTTCGCTCTGTCATCAGCTTATCTGACTCCTCGGAACGATATTTCATTTTAGAGGAAAGTTTCGCTCGACGATAAGGTCGAAAAGTTTTTAGAACTCGCTAGTTTCATAGTAAGACGGAATTTTCTCTAAACCTACAATGTAGGTATCCTGGCGGTATTGAGCGAAATTGGAGTCATTTTGAAGTACCAAAAACATTATAGTATATAGAGATGTTTGTAGGAAAACGACAATGTATCACAATGTAGAAGTATTACAGTCATAGTGCATGTATTTTTTTTAGGATAGAATTATAAACTTGATTGTGAACGTTTTAGTATATTCATCGTTATTTCTTTTGCAGGAAAAATGCGTCAGTTGGGTTCCATTTAGAGGAAACTTTCTTCGCTGCGAGGCGTTTCGGAGTTGCCTGCTGGTGAGTGGTTTTTTCGATGTTTAAGTACGACAAAACGGAGGAAGTTTCGCTCCGGAGGAACGCTCGCTTTAATCGTTATACGCGAAACTAGTTGTAGTTTGGGTAGTTTGGTGAAATTTTATTTTCCGGGATACTTATAAAGCAGCGCCGTTACCGAGAATTGTCGCAAACAGTTAGGCGAGTGGAAAATTATACGAATTGGATTTGCAAAAGGCGATATCGAAGAGAGCTCTCACGTTTTCTCATTAGTCAGTCACACGCAGCCGGGTTAATACCCAGCTTTTTCTTTTTCCTTTGGATCTCGTTTTTGTGTCATTGGCTGTATTTAACCTTCATCGTGTTGTCCCTTCAATTTCAGCGACAGCTGTCTTTGGGCTCCGCCTGTTATCCTTAACGCTTAGACGTCGATAAACGAAAAGTGTCATCCTCATACTTTCAAAGGGTTGTTTGTATTCAAATTTGATTGATGGTTTTTCTGATCAATTTAATTACGATGTTATACGGTGTGGGTTATCGAACGCCTTCGAATTACAATAAATTATCGAACTTATTTTCGGTATCAGGCACATTTTCGTGCTTTTTTTTTTGGTGGAATAATGATTTCTTATTAAAGCCTAAATAAATCACATACTTACAGCCAGGGAGAAGCCTCTCACATTTGAGCTGAAACATCGAAAAGGTTTTAAATTCGTAGAACGGGAAAGGAAGTGGAAGTGCTCCGGCTTAAATTGCATATGACTCGAGTACGCCGGATCTTTATTTCGACGGATTTTTCCAGCCTTCGGGCTTTGTAGGTTTTAGTCCGGTCGTGTAAACTAGGCAGCGTGAAAATAATACCATTGTTGATAAAAAAGTTTTATTGAAATCACAGATAGTTAATTTATTGATTTGTACATATTTATATAACAACATTCAGCTCGTCCAAACACAGTGAAAATTTTTGTACAGAGTTATGTAATCATTTGGCTTCATAGGTTTTTTTTTTCGCTATAAACTTCGTTGGGGAATTCAGCCGTTATCACAAAATCCGGGATTAAATTATGCAAGCGCTCATTAAAAAACTGCCAACGTTAATTAGTTTGGATGAAGGAAAAAATTTCTGTGACGTAATTCTCCAATTATTTCGAGCAGTGTACGACCGTTTTTCCATCTTTTGTAACTGCGTTACCGATCTCTTTGTTTCCGGAAAAACACAGTAATAGAAATTGAATTTAAAGTTACCCGAAACCCTCATAATTCACGAAGGAAAAGGATACAAAAATGTCCAGGCGCAAACAAACAAAAAAAAACCCCTGAAAGACACAAGAAAGTTAACAACCGAGTTTCATTATGCCGCTTCGGTAGAAACAACACAGGTCCAAGACGCGAAAATACCAACTCGTTTAGTCGACTTGTTCGAATTTAAAGCTCTCGCGAAGAGGAAAATAAACTTTCTCGTTACACGCAAGCGCCGAATCACCAGCTGCATTTCCATCGAATTTATGCACTCAACATTTACTGCGAATCGACACGCTTTCCACGTCCTTACCCACGACGCGCTTCGACGCCCTCTTCAGCGTCGACACCTCCACCTCCTCGCTGTCGTTCAACAGATACTCCAGGTCCTGCGTGATGCTGTCCAGCACACCGTCCAACTTATCGCGAGCTTCGGAGCTTTCGGGCGAATCCGGCTCGGTCTCGCTCACCTCCTCGACGGTGCTCAGCGTCGTCTCGCCGGCGATCTTCTCGTCGCGCCCGTCGGGCTGGGTGCGCTCGCGGCATTGCTGCGAATCCACCTGGTGCTTGGGAATCTTGGGATAGTCCAGTATCCTGGCTATCGCCTCTTCCGGCGTCGGGGATCGTTGCAGGCTGGACGCCACCAGGTCGAGCTCCGCGCACACTTTGTTCGACAGAATGTCCGGCGAGCAGGCTGGAACAAAACCCGCCTGTATATCGCGATTCTACCGAAGCGGAATTCGAATACCTGCGGGAAATTTGCGGAAATTCATCGGACTGCAGCTGTAGAATTCCAAGGGTGGTTGTTTGAAGTGGGGCGTCGCGTCGGCGACGTCGACGCGGGCCGTGCAGGCGGGGATGTTGTGCAGGCAGCTTTCGAAGGTCGCCGCGATGCCCGGCGATTTGCCGGGCATCGAGGGTTTGGAGATTTCCCGGCTGGACATCGCGAATTGCCGCTGGGCGTCCGGTTTGATGTGAGGACTCGAGTCGTTCTCCACTTCGGGGTCTTGTTTCGTGATAACTGCGGTACGAAGGATTTGATTAATTCGATGGTAAAGTGTGGCTGTATTATTCGAAATTGCTTACAGTTTAAGGGGGATGAATGCGATGAATTGTAGCTGAAAAAGATGTTTTCGGTTTTCTTTTTTCCGACGAACAGTTGTCGGCATTTCGTTTCGGATTTCACGACGTAGAGCAGCAGGAGGACGATTCCCTGAAATGGTGGATCGAATATATCGGCTTTAATTACTGTGTTAAATCGGCTGTTTTAAATATAAATCGATGGAAAATGGCGTAGATATTTGTGTACTTGCAAAATTATTAAAATTATTCATTATAAGCGTTAAAAAATTGTTCGTTTCATTAAAACCGTTCAATCAATTTGATATTTGAATAAATATTTGCGATCATGCTATTTATTCGAAATCAAATATCGATATGATTGGAAACACGGAACGATTAATTATTGTATCGATTCGCGAGAGATAATTTACACCGGTGTTAAATTTCAGTTAGAGAATTATTCAATTGTAACTTTACAGTAATAGACTTGAGTGTACCAATTATAACTAAAATCTTACCGTTAAAGCATTAGAAGCGCTAAATTGACCGATACTCCACAACTTGTTGGGAAAATTAATATAAACTATGCTGCTCACAGAAAACAGAATCAGGAATACGAATATACAACAAGATCTTTTCAACAACCCCAACCTAAAATATCACAATTTTAACATACATTTCTAACTTACTCTTTGTTGTTACAATACCTCTTATTCAAAGGCTTGGCGTACTTTTCGTTAATCTTGATAAGATTGTTCAATTTCTTAATTACCGTGGTGTAAACGAAGCCGAACAAAATCGTCATTATCGAAGTGACACAGACGAATATATTAAAGGATAAAGTCCCGCTCAGGATCCACCAAGACTCCAATTTAACGTCCATCGTTTCGTAGGATAAATGACTAGCGAACACGGTAATCACCGGCACCCCTGCAAAACGGAAATTAGTTCCACTTTAAATAATCATCTATTTCCTGCAGTGAAACAGAAACTAGGAATAGAAAAGGAATGCCTATTATTTTTAATGAGACCGGTCGGGCCGAAAGAGGAGCCCGGTAAATTAACCTCGTTAGAAAGACAAATTCCATCTGGCGATCGGCGTGATAAATGCTATTAAATCTTCAACGTTAATTCGAAAAATTAACTTCCTAATCAACTGAATGATTGCAATCATTTATAAAACGTTTGATAATTGAATTCGCACCGAGAAAAAAGTCTCGCTCGAGCTAAAGTAGTAAGGTATTAAAAGTGAACAAACCTGAAATGATTCCCACGACTGTGAATTTCGAAGTCATAGTTTTCGGTAAATTGATCAATTCGGTAAATATCATCAACAATTTGCTCAAGTGACTGGCGAATCCGAGTAAAATGCTCGTCTCGATGGACGTGAGAAAAAATAAAAAATACGCCTGGAAAGCAGTAACAATTACTAGAGTTAAAAGAACGAATAATTGAAAACATAAACATCACCTGAGGCGGTCCTGTTATTGTCGCAATTACGAAAAATACTCCTGCGGCCAAAATCGACACCGAGCACTGCAATTTTAGAAACGTCACGCTCGATTTGGGCCTCAAATAACAGGAAACAGCCAAACAAATTGTCGTAATTAGAGTAAAAACGATACCTATCGAACAACCGATCAATAAAATATACAAATTCGATTCGCTTTCGTCGCTTTTAGACTGCAACAAAAAACGTTAATTAATTTATTACAATCTATCGGCATTCAATTCGGTGCTTACTTTGGGCGCTAAAGTTAATAGCAAAGCAAAAATCCCGTGTTTGGGGCAAATGCACCTGGTTTTATGATCGTTCAAACGCTCCGTGTAGCAACTGTAGATGTTCCATGAATAGGTGAACGTTGATAAATCCGCGTATCCGCATTTAACGCTCCACGTTTCGTCGTCGCTCCAATTCATTTTGTGGATCAATTGGTGTTTGAAGTCGATAGCGATCGGATACATATCGAATGCGTCGGGCAAAGGCAGCAGGGCCGCGATTTGCGAGTATATTTCGTATTCCAGCTCCGATCCGTCCCTGGAAATATTGATGAAACGCTCGGCAATCGACTGATGAAATGGTTTTAGTCTTACTTGATCCTTATGAATAGGCGAGGTGGCATGAAGCTGGATATGTTTCTGAATACGATTCCTGCTACGTAGCGCTGTTTTTTGTCTTTGGGTATTAGATTTGTTCCTGATATTTGAACGCCTAACCATTTTCTGGAATTATAATTGCTTGTAGAAATCCCCACGGCGAGTATAAAGTTAGCTATAAACTTACTTAGATGTATCCATTAATTTCGGTAGATGAAAATATTTATTAGTCTGATGAGTTGTGAGATTGAGTACGTTTAAATCGATTGAATTCATCGTTAGAATAAAATTATCATCTTTCGATTTCATTGTAGATCCCGAAGCTACCAAATATTCAGTAACTAGTTCAAATACAGCTCTAATTTCCTATGTAATGGAACAATATATTACTTTTTTGTATAAACAAAAGTAAACCACTTACAGTCTGTTGCGTTAATGCATTAGGAGTCATCAAAATATCATCTAAAATACTAAACAAAGTGTTTGTAACATTTCCACCATCTTGAAACGACAATTTCGTTCTAATCATATGTTGCACTATTTCGTGCAAAACACTTATCACTCTAGCTCCTTCGCCGGGCAATAATTTATAGGAGCTACTCTTTATGTACTTGAAAATTCTCCTCAAAAGATCATCGCAAGTCGAAGTCACATATCCCAACTTTGAGCGAACAAACTACAACAAAATTCAGCGGTGCGTATAGAACAGGGCACGGGGAAGTAATTTAAGTTGTCTCCCGGCTGACAACAAAAATAAAGCTAATTTTCGTTTCGAATTTGCGCCGCAACTAGTCGAAAAATGTACACCTAACGCTCCGGCTTCGGAAGCGCAATCGAATTAAGGTTTAAATGGATTTAATAAAGTTGGAATGAAATTATCGGCGAAAATTACGTTAAGCCTCAACAGTAATAAAATAAATGGACTGTTAATAAACTTGTTAAAAGAGTTATTACACAGTAAATCGATTCGGCTGAATAATCGCCGAGTTTTGCGAAGATATAAAACCGTTTATTAACGAGTCGTTTATTAATTGGGTAATGCTTCAATTTTATTAGTCAGTTGGTTTGCAATAATAATCGAGAAAAATCATTAGAAATATGATTTGAATTTTGTATTATCGCCTTTTATAGGAAACATAAACCACAAACTATCGAGCGCATCTAGAAAAATATTTAAATCATAACTTAATAACAGGCGTAAAAAGGGCATAAAATAAACTTTATCGCAACCATGAAATTTTATCGTGATATAACGTATGGATGGCGGTCACAGCGGGACAATAAATTTCCTATTTACAAAACAACGAGAATATTCCCCGTATAATCGGTCAACTTTCGCGTTAATCACTCTTTTTATTTTCGCGAATAACTCATTCCCGACTAAAAATTCAACCGTTTGCACTAAAAAAACTTAGAAAATTAATCGCTCACCGTATCGTAAACGAGTCCGAGGGGCTCGTAGGTGCATTGCGAGAAGGTGGGCCGGCCCCAAACGGGCCTGCGGCCGTCTTTCAGGGCACAATATCTGGTCGTTTGGCCCTCGTACCCCTTGGGGCAGCTCAGGACGCTGTTGGTGTCGGGAGCAGTCTCGGGCCAGGACATGTCCAAATAAACCTCCTTCGAGCACGTGTACACGCCCTTTCTGTCCACTACATAAACCGATACCATTTTTTCCGAGGACACTTTCTCGCCTTGCACCAGACAGGAATACTCCACGTTTTTCTGTGTATATAGAAAAGTGAATAATTCGGTGTAAGAAATGCGTTATTAATAACTTACTTCTGCTTTTTTGACTTGTAGAATGGTGCCGGAAGGATAGAGGACTTCATATTTTTCGAAATCCGTTCTTACTGGTAGCAATTCTTTATTTTTGGTCCAGCTGTAAATGTATTTAGCACCGTCCGATCTTTCTTCGTTTGTGACGCATTTTATCGTAAAATTCTCGCCCTGTAACGTGTTTTAAAAAAAGGTTTAAATGGGAATTAGGGAGCCGATCCAATTATTTCATTTGCGTTTTATTTATTTTTTTCGAGCCCCAGCCGTAATCTATCTCCATCCCGAAATCTAGACAAGCAGGAAATATAATTGTATACCGACCTTTTTCACTGTCAAACTCACTGGTTCGATCTTAATGGAGGGTTTTTTTTCGACGAGTACTTTCTTGGAAAGACACTCTTTCATATTGAAATCCTCGACTTGGCACGTGAAAAAACCCTCGTCGTAGGGATGCGTTCGCTCGACGCCCAAAAGGCCGGTGTACTGATCGGGTACGTGAGGATCCTTAATCAGTTTCGTCCATTTGCGGCTGGAAATCAAACGGTTTCTTTTTTTTACCATTAGAACACGCAACATCGACGAGATGTCTTCGTTAAATTCCGTGTAAACATTCCCTCCGAGCATCCGATGAAGCTCGTAAAAACGCGTATAGTGAAAACAAAGAGAACATCCATTAGTGCTAATTCCCTGCAATTCCACCAACTTCTCAGAATTCCCTGAATTTCAACGCGAATTATTTTATTGCGTTTCACCAGTCAGAACGAAGCGTCGTTTTTACACTCTATTTTACCTACATGTGGATTCCCTGTCAATGCTTAATTCGATTCCGAGTTAACGAATAAACGAGCAATTTTCGATCAACGTCGAAATACTTCACGTTCCCTAAGCCAGGCGTATTCCTTTGAAACTTCACGTTAGAGTTAAAGTTGAACTAAATTTGGTCGATTTCGTTGGAAAGTTGTAAAAGTTTGTTTGCTACTCGTCCATACATAATTCACCGGTACTATAAATTTTACTTACTTGGTAGCAGTAACGTTAATTTCCACGGCATCTTTAAACCAACGAAATATTATGGAAGGAGATCCTCGGGCTACGCAACTAAGTATAAATTGGTCGTTTTCTCTTATAACACCGGCTTGATTAATGTCAAGACTCTGCAAGAAATAAATAATGAAACTACTGGAAACGAACGGGATATAAAAAAAACACCTCTCACCTGTACAGAAAGCAAAGATGACCTCAAATAAGTATCCTTCTCCGAAATCGTTATATTGCCCACATGTCCTCTGTCGGACCATTTGTTCAAAATCGACCTCAACCTTTTTTCCTCTTTTTTGGCGCAGTAAACGTGGAACGTAACGTCTATTCCGCTCCTGAAGTGCCTGGAAACGTCAGGAAAACGATCACACAGCGCCGGCAATGAATAGTAAATAGAATTCAGAAATTGGGGAAATACGAAACTCAAAACTTCTGATACCGGTTTTCTTATTTTCTCTTCGCCCCGGTTTGTTTCAACGCGAAGCGATATATCACTCGAATAATTCATCCGGCGACACCGAATAAAAATGTAATGTTTATTTATCGTGCATTATGCGGTATTATAGCACACTACATAAATCACATTTACCCGCTGCATTAGCCCGCTAATTATTAGTTTCCTTTGGCGTTGGAGTTTCTAAAATACTCCTGAACGTCAAGAAAGCGATCTTAAAAGCCGTAATGAATAGTAAATAGAATTTTCCGCGTCATCTTTGAAAATTCGCAGGAGCGGAACGGGAATCAGACGCTGGAAAATTGTAAGTTATTGAAGTATGTACTTACCTGGAAATCTGGGAATTAGCTTCGAAATGAAATTGGGGACGAAGGAGCTAAATGTGGACAAGAAAAGAACAACTCCCTTCGCAAAGGAAAATGAAATATCTCGATGACACGCGTGGTGAAAAGGGATCGGCCATTTTGCCGGAAGGGAATTTATTTTTATATAGTTGGAGTTTTATTAAAAGTAATAAAAGGACACAATGCATGATAACGTAATTCAAAAAAAATTCATTACTCATTTAGCTTGTTTTTAAACAAAAAACATCACCATCTGGTAACGAGGAAACGGCTCAAACTTCTAAATTGTTCCTCGGTAATCCCCATAGATATCCGGATATACTTGCAGCGCAACGATGATGGCGAAAAATGTAAATTCCAAATGGTTTTTTTTCTTGCTTGTTTCGCGAAATACGTCAATTAAAGTCTCGTAAAGCAATTACGTTTATGCAAATAACGTCCCTAATACGAAAGGACGTTTAGTTTAAAAAGGGATTTAGTACAAGCTAAACCTAGGATAATAAATCGCGTGTGTCCACTAATATGAATTTGTGTCATATCTTTTTTCCAAAGTTATTACCATCACTTAAGGAATTAGGGTTAAAATTGTAAGTAAGTTTCTGTTAACAATAGTTTTTTTTTTATAGCAATGTTTAAGTAGGTCTGGGAAATTCCGTTGGTATAACCGGTTGTTGAATTTTAAATTCGAAAACGGCAGTAAAACGAATTTTTTCGTATTATATTGTCCCTTGGAGCGCCGTTGCATTATGAGCGCTCAAATATTTATACACGCCAAGACTGAAAATGAAAATAAATTCCGAATTAAATTGTACGTTTTTTTCCGTTTATTCTCCGTGCGAATATCGTAGTTCGTCGAAGGAAAATTCTTCAATTTCCACCTCGTCAGTTATTAACGTCGGGCGAATAGATGTTTTTTCCGTTCGAAGAATTTTTAATAAGCCTCTAAAAATACGATATAGACTCGACGATGAGTCCTTTTGTCGTCGAAACAAAATTTCCCGGTGTTTCCCGACTCGACGAACCTCACGAAATGCCAAGGAACAATGACAAGTCCCATTCAACCGCTCGAATAAGGTGCAAATTCACTAAACTTTTCCGCACTTCTGACAACACATCTTGACAAGGGTAACGTCAATTAACAACAATAGTGTTCGCGATAATGCGAAAGGGTTAAGGACGGAGCAGTCAAACGCGATAAAAATTAAATTATGACGCCGCTAAAAACTTTCTGACCTTCCTCGCTTTAAGTTTATTTCGCTGTTTTGTGCCCGACAGAAAAGCGTTTGTTAACTTTCGATGTTCCAAACACGCCTCTCTTTCTCCATGGTTTTATTTTTTATGTATTATGAATTTTGCGAGTTACTTACACGAAATTTTTGATTGCTATTTCTTCCACAGCAGACGAATTGGCTTGCAGATATTTTTGAATCTAGAAACAATGATTAATATTTAGATTAAGTTAGATAATAAATTTATAATACACTGCGATCGATCAGGGTATAGAAAATTGAGAGCGTGAGAATAAACTTTTCGCAATTTAGGACAACAAAGGAAATATATCATTAAATTTTTATTTGTGAGCTACACAACACAAAGCAGCACCAGATGCTGTGCGGGTGACAAATATACTCATATATTTGAGATACAACGCCAGAACTACTCCAATATACAATTTATTCAAAAGTGTATATGAAAATCTGGAAATTCGTAAAAGATTGCTCAGAATTGTTGTATTTAAATCAATATCTATACGCTTATTAAAAGCTCAAAAAATACCTGCGGTAAAAGAAAATTTGCTGCTCCGAAATAGATGGGAAAGTTGTTTATCTAATCTTAAGTATTCCATTAAAACCAGCCTTCGCGCAAACCGTTAATAATTCAATATAATACTCCGGTAAAGTTCCGTTCGAGAATAGGACATTAAATTACCGATATTGTTACGTGCAACATGCACCGTCCCAGATACCGGGCGATATAACTTTAAACAGTAATAATAGCAGAGAGTCGATTAAATTCCATTCAAACCGCGATTGCAGGACTCTATTAATACGACAATTGGCGGTTAATTAGCCATCAATGCGTGCAAACTGAATTTCCAGCTTGCATTAGAAACTCATCGTTATCCCTAAAGGTTATATAATCACAATTTTAATTTTATTTTTGTATATACAATCCGCTCAATTAACAATTTTTTCATGTACCTGTAACTTTCTACAGTGACTCAAATTTACTTTTTATTTAACATACAAAGTTCACACTGTACAGGGCGTATCAGTAGCCCATTAAAGCGCAAATATGTATTCAATTACGCTGTAAAAACAAATCCCCGTGCAGGTACCTCGATTAACCGAACGTTCAGCATAATTTGCAGGAGGTAAAGCGCCGCAGCGGAGCGGATATTCGATGACCCTTTGCGCCCTTTGCCCCCGACGAGGGATTAAACGTTCCGCGGGAGTCCCGGGCTCCGGATGAGGGCGGGAAATTCGGCGGGAAATTCGTCCAGACAATGCAGCAAGGAGAAGTTCGCGTTCGGTTCTGTTTCATTTCGGGGAATTAAGGTGGAAAACACACCCTAATGGTAGGATAACGATGCTTTTTGTGTATTGTTTGCAAGCGGTCGAGATATTTATAGACGAAGGAGGTTTTTTTTTGGTATATTTTCGCGGTAAAATGAATTCGAAATTTTGAAAGAGGGTTTCGCTGTAAGCGCGTAGAAGATGATGCGATAATTTGGAAGTCGATAGGGTTAGAAGGAAGTAGAGGTCGTAAATTCTATTCGGGAGATCAAAGACGAGAGAAAGAATTTCGAAAAGAAAACTAGTTGAAAGTTCGAACGGAGTAGGTGAGGGAATTTATTGCGTTGAACTAGTTATACGGAATTAGATTGAATTTTTTTTCAAGCACCGTTTGAATTGAAATCGAATCAATTACCACTAAAAATTTTCGCAAATAATAATAGCGAGTACTAACTGACTTATTGTGTATATTGAATTATTATATTGAATTGCTTGACTTCCGCGAATCCAATAAACGGGGTCTTATTGATATTTAAGGGTTCGTCGAAAGTTTAACGAATAAATTCATCGGAGTTGGGGAATTTTCCGTTTTTGTTCCAACGAAATTTCCATATTTCACCGTTTACACATAAATAACCGAGAAACTATTCCGAACTTTTTTTAATGCCAAGTTGCGCTTAAGTTCCCATCCCCGATCAACCAGCTCACTATGCGGAGATATTTCCGAGGACCCCAGTCTCAGGGGCGGCTCAATTTAAACCCTTAAAATCCTCTCAAAAAAAAACTACTGAAAGTGCAAAGTTACTAATTAAATAACTGAAAATATGTGATTTTTATGAATGAGCTGTAATATAGGTCGATTATTTTATCTATTAACTACCCCGCCGGACCGTTTCATTAGTTACCCGACTGCCGTCGAGGGTGACTTTGGCGTTAGTGTCGCCCAGCCCGCCATTATAGTCTCCTGAAATAACAGCCTGATTTATGGTCCGCAGAAGGTCGTTTAACGTTGGCCTAAAGGGAGAAAGTGCACCGGCATAAACCGGGTTAAAAGGGGGACGTAGGGAAAGGTAAAGGCCGTATAGGAGTTGTATAAAACGGTAGCAATTAAGGGCACGTGAAAAACTGCCTGTTGATGTTAGGTATTTACCTATATACCTGCTGGAAAAATTAAACTCGTTGTTAAATATGTTGTAGGAGTTCTAAACGCAAATTGGATTATAAATGAGTTATTTTGGAATCCTTTTAATGGGGTTCTTAGTCATTTTAGAATGATTATAATTAGCTTCGTATAGATTAACTAATTTAAAATACTCCTTGTTATATTATACATACTAATTCCTACAGTAATACAAATTTATCTAACCAATTACGCATATTTTTAATGGATCTAATAACTTATTTTTTGCTTGGTATAACCATTTAGTTCCGATAAATTGGTATAAAGGAATGCGTTGAGTGATCCGAGGAAAACACAGACGCACAGGATAAACGGATGATGTGAATATTCCAGCTGGGAATTTCGTAAAACGGTAGCAATTAAACCGGCTAAAAAATTACCCGTTGATGCACTCGACAATTAAAAGCACAATGCTGTTTTTTCCTCGCCTATTTAACGGTGCGCCGTTTACCGGCGAGAATTTACGCTTGTAATTGAATGGAAACATTAACTATTCTAACAAGATGCGATGGATTAAAAGTAAATTTAGGTGAAAAGTCTTACCAACGTTCGGAGATAATCCTTGAGTTTCTCGTCGTCTAAATTGGGCAAATTCGCCAAATGCAGGGTAGTCGAGAATCCGTTTCGATCTGCAACACAATCAGAATCGACAGGTACTTTATGCAAACCATGCGAAAAATTACTTATCGACGAAGGTATTGAAAAAACCAAATTTGATGTCGAATATCCGACAATCGAATATATTTTTTTTATATCGTTTTATAGCCGGAATGCTCGGAAAATTGAGTAATTTATGAACCCTCGGTCCCCTGAAAACCCGTAAATATGTTAAGAGCCGTATATCATTCTCGCAAAAAAAGGTAAGATACACCATTACGAGGAAAATTGTATATGGAACGAAAATAGAATAAAAATATCCCATTTTATACGGAACGCCGGGTTTCGTACGACAAAATGCATTTTAATAAAGCCGACAAATCAACAGAAATGTTATAAAAAATATATTTTTCTCGGTAAGCGGGCGAAAAGTTGTATCTTTTCACACTTATTATTCATATTTGCTCATAAATATTATATTTGAGATTTTAATTATATTTTGAGTAAAGCATTCTTTCACACTCTATGAAAAATGATTGTACATAACTCTTGTGGATAGCTGAGAAAACAGCTGAGTTAGGTACAATGTTTTTCCTTGGAACGTGAGATTTGCAGTTTCAACTGCAATTTTATTCGGAAAAATATCACTTTCTACACTTAACCTCCACTCCAGAAATCTATTTTCTACCATAACATTCCATTTAAGCACCCAAGTATCGAATTTATAAAATTCTTATCGAATTTCCGGAATGAATACCACCATTGAATTCAAAGTAAATGAAGGAAAAACTCAGGAATCAGATTTCTAAAATACACACATAATATCATTCGCATAAAACGGATATTTGCTTTAAATTTGGAGTGTTATTAATCGTTTCATTTCCTTTGGCGTTTTGTATTTTGAAAATTTGAGAATGCTTTTGACAGGCCCCATTCAGAGCGGAAACCATCGACAAAAAAGAATCGAAACGGGCCAAAAAAACTCCATTACTCGTAAGTCAATTTGAATATAATTACGCATGTGTTTTTTCAATAGATTGAATTTTATAGAAAGTCAATTTTTCCGTTTAAAAGCACGTTTTGAATAAACCAAAAAATAATTTCCTTTAAATCTACGTTACTATACAAGAAATTTTGCATAAATAACCGTTCCGAAAATTACGAATTTGCTCAATCTCATTTATAATTCTATTCCATATAGCTCTAAATTAATTCTTTATATGAGCGGCGCGAAAACTTCGTATATATACGATTAAATGTTAAACAAGAAAAGGCAAAGTTTCACTGTCAAAGCTCAAAAGGATAATAGAGAACTTACCCCCGAGCAATGTGCCGGACGTATTAACTTTGAGTTTGTCAAAACATTTGCATGAAGTTCCGGGATGGCCCTCTGGCGGACAATATTTGCACGAAATGCACTCTGAAAATAAAAATTCCCAAACTATAAACTGTTTTGTTCTAGTATGAAATGTTATCTTCCAACAAACACGAGCACATCACCTATACAGATACTTCTATAAGCTTCATGAGTAATAAATAAAATTTGATATACACAGATTTACAGATTTGTACGAAACTGCTCTAAATTTATGCGAATGAGTAGTGCTCTAGAGCCAGAGCTTTATTTAGGAACGATTGGAATGCATGTAACGCAAGAAAGATAAGAAATAAGTCAGCATGATATTGCCTTTAACTTTATATGTTTCCAGAAACTTTATGATATGAAATGCAGTTTAATATCCAGCAGACGAGTCAATAAAATCTGGATTTCAGTTATACAGCCCTTTTTAATATAGAGAAATATTGTAGAAGCTTACGTATTATTTTATTCGCCTCATAACTTTAATTTATTGGTAACTTAATAACTTAATATCTATAATTTACTGGTATATAACATTGCTTTTATAAAATATAATTGATTGAACTGGTTCACTTAGGTTATAAAATGAATCGAATTTATTTGAAAACTCTACGTAATATCCAATATTGCATCCGATTCATACGGTAGAATCCTCTATTATTTTTTCTTTCGATCATTAGACTGTGATATATTTGAAATCAATGTGTTTATTTGAATTAAACGTTAAATTTATATTGAAAGGGGCGCATTCACATGCGATTAATTACTTTTTCCAAATCGTCGAAATGAATACTTCCCGAACGCTTTTCGACTATTTTATGCAGCTTAACCGTTTCCGCCGATATTAGCAACACTAACTTCTGAAAGTTCAATTTTAAATTATTTCCTCGCAGCAATTGCTTTTAGTAAAAGCAACTTTTATTTCACTCGGAATTACTTTTTAATAAAACGCTTAAATTTGAATGGAGCTCCGCTCTAACTGGCGCAAGGAGAGAGAACTTTACGAAGTCATCACTCGGTCAATAAAAAAAGGCCTTTTTAATCGTTCTCTAATCGCTTATTTATTTATACAGTAAATAAAAATACGTTGAGTAGATATTCTGTAGAAGTAAACTATTAAATTAAAAAAAGAATGGACTAATTTAACAGCCGACCCAATTTTCTGAATATTCATTTAGAACGCTTTGATTGCCAGAACAAATAACTAGCTCGGACTCGCAGTCGAATTACATTTTAATCAAACTTCTTCAACTTCCATCATTTCGCGTCGCGAACTTTCCGTAAACGCGGAGAAAATACAATTTTCCCGCCGGTTTAGCCGATTACGTTTCCTTTTATTTAAGTTCACAAGGGCATTATTGCCGAAGGAGATTCCAAACACAAATAAGAACTAACTAATAATCGCGTCCCTGAGCAGCAGTTTCTTCTTAATGCGGACCTTTCAAAGGGAAGATTTTAATTGAGCCAGTTTTCTGTATAACTTTAATTCATTATTTAATTGGTTCTATCTAACGGGTATAATTCAAACATTTCTTATATAGAGTAGAGTATACACGATGCATTTTAATTGCAACTTTTCTATTAGGAGAAGACCTGTTAGGTGATCGATTTTCGTCAGAAGATTCTTGCTATCATCTTACCTTTCGATACGGCAGATTCAACAGGTGTCTCGCAGGTAGGACCGGTGAAATTCTTCGTACAAGCGCATCGAACGGCCGCCACACCGACGTGTCTGAAATTTAATTTGCAAAAAAATGCTATATTACACCACTAGAATTTTTGGTAGCTAAGAATAGATAGGTTATAAATTCCTGCCAGAACGACCATCCACCAATTCCATCCACGAAATTTTGGTGCATCGAATCCACCAAAAATTGTAGCTAGTACAATTTCTGTATAAATCTGGAAAGTGAGTTATTTTCCGGGCGTATAGAAGGCAACAAAAACTCGCTGTATCTCCCGCGAAACTTCGTTAAACGCTAAAAGAATGCTTCCTTAGAAATCCGCTAAGCCAACTGTTACTTTTTTTTGTCCTGGGCTTATCTGCGATTAAACGTTTGGACGGTAGCCAGAACTGGTGAAACTCCGTACTCATCTATTTTAGGCTTCTTTACTTCGATGTAATTGAACGTCGCGACTCAGAAAAATAGTGATGACATCGACGCGAAAATATAACGGTCTTGTTACTGTAATGTTGTCAGAAACTAAAAGAACTCGAAAGTTTTTGATTTATTGACCTCACGTATGCTATCTTTAGGTTCTTTATCGCTACGAGAATGCACCTTGTTGTAATAAATTACTTTTAAGAGTAGTATGATGTTTCTTCTGTTTTATACAGGATGATTAATTATTAATCGTGCATCATGTATATATTTACCGGTATATCCTGTTTCGGGATGTTACGAATAATTACAGATATATGATAAAATGTGTTATGTATTCGGAAGGAAATTAGAAATACAGAATTTCCATTTGGAAATACATATACACGTAGTTTAACTGCAATCGCATCGTATTTTACAGTTTCCAATAAATTTAATAAACGATCGCGACCATTAAATTAAACGGACGCCATGTAAATAACTAAACACCTATTCGATATTTAACATAAAACACTTATTTATTCGTTCGTTGCCAGCATAATAATTTTAATTACGAAATATTGTGATTTGCTGATAGTTTCGAGTAAATAAACATAAATTCATCAATGAAATATTTACTTTAAGGGCTTAAATACCCAAGTTTATTGCGGATTGTAAAAAGTTTGTTTATGAATTTTCATGTTTATCCTAAGGAAGACTTTTGAGAAAAAGTTAAAACCATCAATGTATATTAATCTGGATATAGCATGAAAAGTTTCTGCCGAAAGTACTAAAACCGGGTATAATAAAATCGCCATGAAACCAAAACTTAAACACTACTTACATGCAAGTCCCTCCATTTTTACAAGTCGGCGTTTTCTTCGGATTACAATAAGACTTTGGTCCACTCGAGCAACTTGGTCCTGTGTAACCATCTAAGCAATAACAGCTAAATTTCCTGAAAATAAGAACAGGCGAATGCCATTTCCTAATTAAATCCAAGATTAATCGCCTCACGTATAATGGTCGTAGCAATTTCCCGTGAACCCGCAATCCATCATAGTGCAGGAATTACTCCTGACGGCTCCGCTGGTGATTTCGTAAGTTATGTTAAAGCCGTAGACGTCCAAAAATTTGTCCAACACTCTAAGGTGAACGCTATCAGCTGCGTTTAATTTCAGATCGATGACCAGGAAGCTTTGATAGGTCTTCAGCCATCTGGTTCTGCTGATGTTGGTCTCGTTCACTTTGTGTATTATCTTCGGATTGATTTTGTAATCGTCCCCGTATATTTGGTACTCGGTGAACGTGAGGCCTTCGTAGACGAACAGCTGCGTGAGATACACTATGATGGAGGTGTTGGGGGAAGAGCTCAGTTGAGCGTCGATTACCCATCGACAGTTTATGGGTACTTTAAAGGGGCCTGTAATATTGATTAGGGAGTGGATTGTTCGAATTTGTGTTTGTTGGTGATTTACCTGGGAAATTTGGGGTACTTATGATTCCTCTGGCCGCTGTGTAAGTACCGCCGCATCCTTTTTTGCTACCGTATATCACCGGAGAGAATAGGCTGGAGGTAACAAAAATCCATATTATCATCGCCTCGACTCGAATCTGTAACAAAAAACGCTTAATTAAACGCCCGTTTTTTTTCTTACTCCTATATGAATTATCAAATAACACGAAAGAAATATACGAGAATAACGAATGTTCTTCATTAATCATTTTGATTGATTATAACCATATTCGCTTGAGAAGTTTTTCAATATGTTTTCCTATATCTCCTTGCGGCGAGAAATATCCTGAATATCTTAAGGCATTTTATACAGAATATTATTGAAACGAAAATTAGGAATCATCCAAAATTTTAATTAAAACAAAGGTGTATAAAATATATCAAGGAAAGTACGCCGCTTATACTCGAAATATAAATTCCCAAACGCCTTTATTAAAGTGCAGTTTCGTATACAAACATCAAAAGGATTATGAATAATTCCAATCCCTGCCATACACTGTTTTTGAATTCACTCGTCTGTAATTAAGCCCAACATTTTCCAAGAAGATGCCTCTATATTGCACAGCATAATATATTACTTTGACGAAAATAAGTACTAGTTTGTCATACACAGTTCACGATATACATTTCAAAGGTTAATGAAGATGTTTGAACATTACAGATAAAGATTATGTGCTTATGCTGGATTTTGCTCATAAATTATTTAGGAGATGCTAAACGCACCACCAACTTTTTAATATAACACATCAACTAATTAAAATTATGGCGAAGAGTTAGACGTTCACTAAGTCCTCAACCCGTCTAATAATTAATCAAGGATTAAGAGTCTCACCTGGCTAAAGGCCTTAATTGTTTAGTGATACACCTAATAGCTACCTATCAAATTCCGTACACCGAAACCTGTGATATCGTGTTACAGTTCATTTCATCTCCAATGACAGTAGGTTAATTAACTTGTCCCGCCTGTTGTAGCTGGTAACAGGTGGATAGAAAGAGCGGACAGGAATATCAATTTTCCAACAACGCGCAATGATACTTCCTATATACATTAATCATTTCGTTTTTAATATCGCACAGGAATTATACCGTAAAGGAAATAATATTGCGCCTAAATGCTCTATCCGCGTATTATGCATTTCGACTTGCATCAATACACTAAAGTCTACGTATAGGATATAATATAATGGCGCAGTCTTGGTTTGGGTTATAATATATCGTGTTTACTAAAACGATTATCCCTCGGCGAATGCATAGTTTATACACTAACTAAATAAGCGTTATATTCCCATTAATCAACGCGCAAATTTCGCATGCAATAATGCATTCATCAAAGATGCCATAATCGTATATAAAATTGGGCAATTCGCGATTAAATTGCATATTAGAATTGTTATTTGGAATCGGGTAACTCTAACCACATATGCATTCAAGATAAATTTATGTGGAGTTTCTGTCACTTTGTGTATCTTCAGGTTAGTTAATCAGAACATTGTTAATAATGGGATAAACAATAGAGACCTAAATTGGCTTGATTGTGAAATTGGAAAAATGGACTAACCACGTAAACCAATAATATTGCATTAGGTGTATGCAGATATTACTGTCAAATGCAGATATTGTCGAATGATTTTGAACGTTCATTGTGCATAATATCCTACGAATTTATGTATTTGTCAAACACAATGAAAACGAAGCCATCCTCTCTCACTAAAATTCTCTGTCAGTTAATTAGCAGTATTGATGAATACACAGAGTGCATCGGTGCAATTGTAATTTACTAATATAACTATTGGTTGAATGTAATTTAATGTACTTTCCAGTAAAGGCAAAATCCGATATTTTATTCTAAACGTTCGTACATCTGTTGGAATCGAACGAGACGTCTCCCGGTGGAACTTTAATCGAAAATAAATACGAATAGATTGCAAGTAAGCCTCTCGAAATAAAGAGAAGCCGTCGGAATACGCTGTGTTGCAGTGTTAACTTCTCAAAATAGTCGCCGGGAAGATTTATCGAGAATTCGAAATTCATGAAATTGAATAATGCAAGTTTACTCAAAAAGTTCGATGTTAATGTTGGAAATGTTCGAATATAACATCGAACAAATTCGCTACTTTTTTATATATCGACGTTCGATATAATTGTTATATATTTACGCAGGGAAAGCCAATTGAAACAATAAAGGAATCGTTAATGTGCTGAATAATTGCTGTCATGACATATGCCTTCTGGTCGTTCGTTTTGTTGTTTTGCATGTAAATTTTGAATTATTTCTGGAATGAATTACAAACGCCCTGGGCGGCTTTAATTTAATATTATATAGTAAAAACAATAATAAAAAAATAAGTTTTTTGTATGAGATAAAAAAAGTATTCAACAAAGCATTATTAATTAAATATTCGATTATAAAAGATCCATTTTGTGGCACAAAATGTGTTTCTTTTACCAATAATTCATAGTGTTAGGCACGACAAATTCCGCAGGTTTACAGTTATTATCCTAGTTTTTGGTAGCGATTTCTAAATTAGGCATTCGCAGTTATAACATAAAGGATAGGTAATAAAACGTGTAAAGCGGGTAGTGAAACGATTACAACTCATTCGGAACGGCTTCCTCTGCAAGCAGTTGAAAACTTGGAAGTTCATAAATTCCGGCCTCATTTCGTAATAAGATACGATTAAAAAACGGTGAAGACGAAAACGGAATTTCCAGGGACATCTTAATGCGAGCGCATCCCGGTGGTAACACTATTTCATAAACGCGAAAACGCCCTATCAGCAGTTGCGAAATGTAAAAATTCCCGTTTTCATCGTTATTGTTCTAAGTCTCCGCAAACAAAGAAAGCAAAACAATGAGAACGATAATGAATGTTTCGGAGCTTCGAGTGCCATAAATAAAAATAATCGTCCCGGATAAAATCGCCCCTAAAACGGTAATGATACTAAATTCAATTTTTCATCCGTGTTACTAGCCTTTCCGTATAGTGATGAAATAAAATAACGGAGAATGTGGTGTTTTTTTTCGCGGTTTACGACTACGATAAAAGCTGCATGGGGTGCAAAAATTAAGTTGAAAAATACCCTGCTTGTACAAACTGTTGCTCCGCATATACCGGGCGTCTACTAACATCCAACGATCAACAATTTCATTCCAAATTCCTCGACATTTTCGATCGAATAAGGACGTTTCCTTCGATCTTGTGTCAACACATCCGATTTCCCTACGTATACACAAACGTCTGCTTGTTATATTCGCTTCGATTTGTCGGAAATCAGAACCCGAGCGGTTTACCCGAATGTAAGTACATACAAAAGGAGGAATCGCCGACGAACGATTCGAATTTGCGGCGTGTCGCTTTTAGTTTAACGAAAACCCATCCGATACCGAACGATTTATCTTCCGAGAATAAGCCTTCTTATAATCGAATTTCGCTTGTAAACAAATCTGCTTTAAAAGTGTTTGTATTAGATACGATTAACGTCACATCCTTTGGAGTCCTAGAGGTTCAAATTCAACAAGTTCATCAAACGAATATGCACGAAAATCGATTCGATTCGATTCGATTAGCGGATTTTAGCATCTACTATTCGCTGCAACTATAATTTAAACTTACATCTCGCCGACGCGGCGCGAATTAACGCGTAGCATTCCAGTCAGCAGTAATTATACTTGTCGTGTAGTTGTAAATATCTCGTTCAACTTCTGAGCGTCGCTTTTAATCACTCCCTGTGCGAATTTCCTCTCCTGTATCGCATCAATAGAGGTGAAAAAAAACCTGTCGTTAGATATGAGACACCGATCGATGGAAACGTCGGGTGTAAATGCCAGGAATAACACGGTTTGGGATTGCGTTCAATTATACAGAGGGTTTCCTGGTCGCTCGCAATCCATGCAACGACAGCTCGGAAATGTCTACCAGACATTTGCGGTGTAGTAGGAGGAGAAGCAATCGTAATTGAAACACTGCAATCCTAATGTTCTGCTGGATTAATTAGTAATGTATGTGCAGTGTGTACGCATAAGGTAAATTAACTATTGTATACAGCGTATTTAGCTTACACCAGAAATTTTGTTGTGGATTAAAAAAGAAAACTCTCAATCATTTATATATAGAGACTCGGTTGTAAGCGCGAGACTTAATGGATGTTGCGTATGTTTTGTAGAAGAAACAGCTTTTAACAAAAGCGGGATTTATGTGACACGTGAAGTACATAATCGGTAATTGTAATCCCCGGGTGTCGAAAATAATCCCCGTTCATCTCCGGTTCGCGAACACCCCCTAATTTCCACCTCATAAACGGGGCGCGACCGTTAACCGCGCGTTACATTTTATCGGACTTATCTGGGTTTACCAACCGAAATATACATTTTATTTGACCCAGGAATACTCATAAAGCGAATTTATTCGCGATAAATGCCAGCGCGTATGAGCCGCGCTCTAGTTTATGGCCGGCGAGTGTTTGAGTGGATACATTTCGACCGGAGCTTCTTCGAAATCCACCCACAGGCGGATGGATATTATCGTCAAAATTGCTATTTTTTTTATTAATCGTCGTAAATGTAGGGTGTTGGTTAATTGTATATAAAATTGTCTGGAGTAGTAAGAAAATTGTGATAGAAAAGGTATTTTTAAAACCCAGTAGTTCGAAAACTGAGAGGTTTAGTTAGGACATGATGATACTTAAATGATCCCACAGACCAAAGCGAAACTTTTCCGCCGCGGAACTTTGTCTTATGAACTTTGGCTTATGAACATGTTCATAAGCCGCCGTGTCTAAGGTTTCGCTGCGAAATCGCTGCGAAATCGCAGCGGCAGCGAAAGTTTCGCGTTGGTCTGTGGGATCCTTAAAATCATCCTAATATATACATCCTGAAATATCAGCATTCAAATAATTAACACACTGTATTAAGAGAGTATTTCGGTTTTAAAAAAGTTGAAATATTATTAAGAAACGTGGATTTAAGGACATTTCGATTTCGATTTTTTTAAAAAGTGTTACCAAAGTCGCGTGGAAAACTCCTCCAAACCGGTTTCCCTAATTAAGTACGTGCCGAATTGTTTTCCGCCGTAACGTCGGGCCCCGTTCGCCCGGTAAAT